CAAAATTCTCGCTGTTGACCTGAAAGTTAGTTCAAATGAAATAGAGCCAGTGTATGAAAATTAGTTGCTCAGCTTTCTAACGCGTCTGACATTCAGGCTCTCATTGAAGACACCATAAGGTTGATCTTGAGGTCTCCGGTGATTGCACAGCTGCAGCCAACTCTAGACAACAGTCTCGAAAAACAACAGAAATATATCAGCCATACTCAGAAAATCAATACCGTTTTTGGATATGCCCATGCAACAAAGTTCACCAGTCACCTAGCCAGTCCAACCAGCATCAACCTCAGAGACACTGCTACCAGCAGTGAGTTAGACCAATAAAGATGAGGCATGGCTCCGAGGGACACATCAAGTGCACTTTCAGTGGATGCAAGATCACAAAATGACAGAGCCAACTGCTCCATATGCACCTTTGGCAAGACCATTATGTCCCACATCTGTAAAAGACATTCCCACGGATATGGTCATACCATAAGTGTTCCAAGCACTGGGAAGGATCAATGTGAGCTTGACAATGATTACACCATGTGTGTCATCTCAACCATCATTTTTATCAGGCATGAATGTCAGGGAATCGACATCTTTGGCAACCACTCTTCCACTGGCCGAGAGGGCTTACCCATGGCTGTCTGCCTCAAAGGATTCCGGAAACTACACTAACAAGCATCTCCTCTTACTAAACACTTTAGCGAGTCTCTGCCCTCAAAAACCACTGCCAGGCTCAAGCAGTCCAAAACTTGAGCCCTGTACAAGTAGAAGGAGGACCACGAAATATGATGTGATACACCAACATTTACAGCCAAGTATGAGCTTTCGAAAGTACGGGTCGAGCTAGCTCCTACCTGAAAAGCCCTGTTTAGGATCAAAGAAATTATTCAACAAGCCCTTGTCACCAGCCAAAAGTCGACCACCACTTGCTTCACTTAATTTTTTTGTTTAACTATTACCTTTATTTATCAGTAGAAGTAATCACTTTCACTAATCTCCTGTTCTGAATAACAGAAACAAAACTTTGCCCTTCCTTGTCAGTTGTTAATGTGTGTTTAGCAAAAAGAAATAAAATTTTACTCTTTTTTTTTCATTAGGTAATTTAAACAGTTATTTTTCTTGAAGGGTTATGCATAAATATTTTTGGTCAGAAAAACTTTATTTTTCTTCATCATATAACTTGAAAAAGTTATCATCCTTGTTATTTTGAGTGCAAGTGTATTTCATCAGATAATTAAAAAAATTATCATTCCTTTGAATTTTGTGTACATATTTCACCACGAAACTTTACCCTTCTTCCTCACATGACTGAAATCCACCATCCTTGCTGTTTTAACTGTTACATACATAAGAGAAGCAAAGTAGATGACATGACCCTTCTTGCATAATAACTTAAGTGATTGCCTTTAATCAGATTCATCTTTTATCTCGCGTGCACAATTATTTATATATATATAATTGTATACGAGACATTACACTTACAATTAAACAACAAAAACTTCCTTGAAGGAGTGATCTATGGATGTGCTCTAACCTCCATTTCAAATTATTTAATTACTGTTGTGTGTTTACTTTCAATTAAAATTTCTAAAACACTTAAATGAAGATATGCTACTTGATAATCATTAAAAGGGTTTCGTATGTATAACTGTGTAAAATGAAAGACTTGATGAGCCCTGCAGTTGCAGTGTTAGGTTAATTCTAACCATCAAGATGCAATATACAAGTATATAATGTGAAATGTAGAGTGAAAAAGTATTACTTAAAACACCATAATGCATACTGTATAATAACTGTTCAATGAAGACATGAAAACTGTGAAATAGTTATAAGGTAAGGTGTGAAGTTATATGCGTGTGTGTAAGTTTAAAGATCACAAGAAGTTTAAAAGGCTGTCAGCTCAGAGTATAAATGCGTATATATACATATTAAAATATAGGATAATGCACCTGAAATGTATTTAGAAAAAGGCAGTAAAGGAGAGAGAGAAGAGTGAAATTGGATAATGATAATTGTTTGTTAAAAACTGGGTCGTTTCATTTGATATAGGAGATTATTAAAGCAAAGCTTACAGCATTAAAATTCTAGATAAGAAATGTTTACGAGTGTAAAATGGTCAGATGTCAAGTTAAGACAGCAAAGTCAACGCTGATTTTGTGGCGATCAGTAATTGTTTTGAATTTCGCGCAAAGCTACACGAGGGCTATCTGCGCTAGCCGTCCCTAATTTAGCAGTGTAAGACTAGAGGGAAGGCAGCTAGCTAGTCATCACCACTCACCGCCAACTCTTTTACCAACGAATAGTGGGATTGACCGTCACATTATAACGCCCCCACGGTTGAAAGGGCGAGCATGTTTGATGTGACGGGGATTCGAACCCGAGACCCTCAGATTGCGAGTCGAGCGCCCTAACCACCTGGCCATGCCGGGCCTATAATGATAATACTTTTTTAAATTTTATTCTTCGTTTTCTTATGATAATATGTATCATATTTTTTAACATCAATAACTTTATGTTAAAGGGTATTTTCCTTATATATTATGAAAGTTAACAGTATCTTTGTTAAAGGGTTCTGCTGTTTTTTAACGTCTGCAGTAGTGTAGAGTTTCTTATAGAGGTGAGAGCTACACTGAATTTAACCAGTTTCACAATCAGTAAACAGTTTTTGTCCTTTTCAATAAGATTTAAAACTTAAAAGTAAGAGATGGCCTGAAGGTAAAGAATGGAGTTGAGATTTTACTAAGCATAGCGTTTTCCGTCTCTTTTAGTCATATATTTTGTACATAGACGTTTTTAATTACTTGTTTATCTTTCAACAATAGAATATTGGTTATGGATTGTTGCTAAATTACTTTTGCTCCTGTTACCTGTTATTCTGGGTCATTCTCTTTTGTGTCCCATGAACTTACTTGTGGGAAAGATTGCTTTATAGTGGAATATGTTGTGTAAAAGAGGACAATTATATTGTTATTGAAGGTCATGTAATACCCCCTAATTTCCTTCTAAATTACACAGTACCTGTATTTAGATAATCAAATTGTATATTAAAAATTTTGTTACCAAACGTTTTAACAAAAGATACTTTAATAAATTAAGACTCTATAATATCATTTCAATCTCCTGTATAACCTTGGGGAAATGTCTTAATTTTCCAACTTCACAAAGTTGCTCGTTTTGCAAAAAATACTGAAGATATTGCAAATTGTTTTTAAAAAATTAAATATAGCTGTTCCAAAACATTTTATAGAAGTTACCAATACATTCAGTGATCGGAAAAGAAAAAAATTATTCCCTCTTCTAAATCTAACCATTAAGTAAATCTGTTCTCACCTTTTTTCTTTATCAGATTCACTAGTAACTGCAAATAACTTTTGTAACATCGGGAAATGTAACACAGAGTTATACTGAATTTCTCCTACTCTAAGTTTGAAACAAAAAAGATACTGAATATAATTTAAACAAAGGAAAAAGTAATCTTTAATCAATGCACAAAAACATAGCAGATGGATGCTCAGCATTTCATAGGAGGCTGACTTGTGAATACTTACTTTCTGACTAACTATTCTGACTGAGAGAGCATAACACTAAATAGAGAATTCCATAACATCATATCTTTAATTATGGATGCTACTCGTGGCATTTAGTAGAAAAATTTATTATATATTTTCAAGAATGAGCAGCTTTATTAGATCATCCTGATTTGTAATATTGAAATATAATGTTTTAGGTAACATTAAATACTTACAATAATTCATAGTATGTTAACTTACAGCTGCTTCTACTAAAAAAAATGTTTTATTTTATCAGTATAGGATCTTAAAAGGATATTTCTTGACCAAACAAAATTCTTTTTATCAATAAATATTTTATGAAAGTGGCAGATTTTAATAGGAAGAGTTATTCTTTATTTAATTACATATATATATATATATATAATAAGCCATTGTTTTGGCTACAAGAGTTTAGGCTTAAGTCATACTTCCACACACAAAAAAGAAGGTAGAACCGTTCTCCAGTTCTTGGGAAGTTTTCTGAATATAATAAGTTGTTAACTTTATAGACCATAGTTAGTTTGTAACATCTTTATAGACCATAGTTAGTTTGTAGCAATGTTTGTCCAATGGAAATTGTCATCTGAAAACCAAGGGAATTTACATAAAACCCACTTTTACAGTGGCTTCCATGATGCATACATTTATATTATAATGACCAAGCAGTTTATGAAACAAAAAATATTTAAGCTCCAACTTATTTATACTGGAAATACATTAGTTTTATTTATGTGAAGAAGGTACCAAGATAAATATATGAATTAGTAGTCCAAGGATCAAATAAAAGAGATGTTACAATGGAATAATAAGTTAAAAGTGGCAAAAGTTCTAGAAGTGCCTATATTGTGTGAATACTGGAAAATGTACAGTACCCATTTCAGAAATATTTAAAACTCATTTTACACAATTTGGAAACTTTGGTCTCACTCATATACCAAAAAATTTGCCTTACCATTTCAAATTCCACAAAATGAACAAAATCCAAATACATAGAAGTAAAAACATATTTACTTCTTTTGCTCAAATTTATATATGCATATGTATGCCTCAGTTATGGAAATCAGTAACAAGAAAAAATAACTATAAAAATTGCATATCGTTGTACTATAAAAACAAGTGCTAATTACTCATTTTCATTTTTAACCAAAAAATGCACTCTGAAAGTTTTCTGAAATCAAATGGTAATTTTAAGGGATTTTCTGACATGTTTCATATCAGGTATATATTGACTTCCAATTTTCTATATAATTCAAGAAGATATTTACACCGGTGAATTGTCTGATAACTAAGGTGATCAGAAAAGTATCCAATTTGTGTATAATCATGAAGCTGTAAACTATGCTTTGATTGGATATGTATTTAGTTTTGTTATTTGTATGACTGAGAATGACTGTCAACAGAAATTTCATAAATTTTGATCTTAAATATTTCAGTAAATGACTGTAGGAACATTGTAACTGTCTAATAAAGAAAAGAAAATATAATCACTTATACGATACATAAACCAAGTAGATTACTAACCAGAATGTCCAGTGTAACAACCCATTATAAGTAAGAAATAATGGAAAATTAGAAATCTGGCAGCTTACATAGATCTGAAGACGACCCATGTATCATCCAAAAAAAAAACATGTAAATTTCCACCTGAATACCACTAATGTTTTTAATGTTCAATAAATATAGAATCAAAAAGTTGTTATTCATCAACCCACTATTACAGAAAAATACATCATGCTTAGATTAATTGGCTTTATCAAACAAAACCTACTTGTAAAGTTACAAAAAATAGTCTTTAACTGTTTAATACGGTAGGACAATAGTCGGTAGACTAATATTTAACTGTGCAATGTAAACATTTGATGTGCTAAGTTTTCATCACTCAACAACCTTTTATCTATGCCTATTAACACGTGTACATTCTTGCAAAATTTTACTCCTGACTCACAATAATATCTTTAGAAGTTTCATCTTGATTAGTGCTTGTGTCAGCTGAGCTCGTGGAGAGTTCTGTAGATGTTTCAGCTTCAATAACTGGGTTTTCTTTCGATGATTGAAATTGGTCTGTGATGTTATCACTGGACATTTTAATTTTGGCTGAGGAATTATTTGTGGATGTTTCCCCTGAACCGGTGAAATCTTCTTCTATCACTTTCGTTTCTTCTTGAGGATATTCACTGGGCACGCCACTTTCTTGTATGCTAGTTTCACCAAATGATTTTTCTTGGTTTGCTTTTGTAAGCTCACTAGAAGTAGAAGTTACTGTTATAGTAATTCCCTGGTCATCATCTTTCGGTGGCAACAGATGGCTCATTGGTTCAAGAATACTTTTTACATCCAAACGACCTAAATTATCCTAAAAAAAAGAGCAAAAGACTTATGTACTGAAAAAATTACCATACAGAAATCGTATTTATGTTGTAAAACCTATTTATTTTTACTTTTAGTTATAGAACAACAAGAATGTTTAGGGATTCAGAAAATTCTATTTATTGTAAAAAAGAATATTTGCTTTATCTTACATTCACCATTGTATTTAAGATTTTGTCAAACTCTTCTATTTATCTAAATGTAAGAAAAAAAAAAAAGGAAAAAGGAAAATTTTTTGTATTAATGAGTAGTACTTAGTTATTGCATTATCTATGGTTAATGATAACTTCAAGAACCAAGAACTCAAGTGTATTTCGTACAATCTTCCATTAAAATAAGTGATTCTGGGAATTTTATGTATTCAGTCTTTTTAACTATGGTTGAACTATTTTGGGGTCATATATGATTATTTTGCATCATGATTCAAAAATAAAATAATTTATTATTTTAAAATTTCATACCAGGACAGTTACTTGGAATATGCAGAGCTGTATGTGTGGAAAAAAAATGATGAGTATGTTAAATTAAAACAACTTTGAATGTCTAAGTCAGCAAGTCACATGACAATCATAACTAATATAAAGATGGTGTGGAAAAGAATGTATCAGAACTACATTTTCACATTGTTTGGCATTTCATAGATAGTAGGAAGTGTGGAGCACTAAACATTTTTTGCTTTTGGGAAGGATATATAACAGCCCTTTCTGACATAAAATATTAATACATTCAGATCATAAAGATACATTTAAATTGGAAAATGTATGAACTTTGGGTACCAGGACCATCCAAAGAGGGACCTATAGCAAGTAGTACCCTAACTGTTGTAAGCAAAGTGCAGCATCTTCTTAACAGATGAGAATTCATAAACACAAAGGCCAGTAGCAAAAACCCTTCACATGTCTTAGGCAAAAATACATAACATAATTAAGAAATATCTCAATCTGGAAAAGCATCACAAGTTGCTTAAACAACATGTCCAGGAAATGTTGACCAACAGTACAAAACTGTATGAATTGTACCTAGCAGAAACAAAATGGCAGTGCATGGTGATATTCAACAAAGCTTATGTGTACCTTCATAACTGTAACAAGTTTTGTGCCATTTTCTACTAATCAATGGATGAAAATATTCATAAAATTGATATGCAGCAAATTGAAAAACTTTTTAAAAAAGACGTAAGATCACTGCTAGATACTCTGCACGAACAAGTTGGGGATCAGATTAATGAATAGAAAGGTCAAGGTGAACTTTTCTTTGCTCATATTTTGTCAGAAATCATGTGAGTTTAGGTTCTGAGTAATCTTGACACAATGCTGAACATGTGTCAATTAGCCCAGAGTTCTCCACTCTTCCATCTTCCAAATGACTTATTGCATTGTAGTAAGAAGGCACAGGCACTCCCTCTTGTTAAGATTTCTTTAACGGGTATATCTGGTTACTAGTTTTATTGGCAAAATGTAATTTAAATTCTCTAATATAATGTTTTTACCAGTGGTTCTCAAAATTTTTGATTGAAGTACTCTTAAGTTGACCAATAGAAGTTGCTGGTAATGTTACCAGCTTAGCTACTTTCCTTTACCCATATGGTAGTTTTTAAATTTTGTTTCTGTACTATTATTTGAAATAACTTGTAAATCCCTGGGGTGTGGGGGATGTGTACCATGGTTAGGGAACCAGTGATGTATATTATGATACAAAATGTATACATACCAGCTTGTTAAACTCTGACACAGATAATATCAGTGTCTTAGCCAATCTTCCTGGAGGGAAAACTACAGTCAAACAGTGATCTAGGTAGGGCAGAAATTCATGCGCAAACTGACTACAGAAGCGACTAAACTGCTCAACTTCATATTTGGAGAATGTCGTTTCTTCTGCCCTACAAGAATAAAAAACATTTCTCAAATTGGAAAAGTACATCCATGTAGTTACAAGGTGAAATTCTTATTGTTTTAATGATAGTCCTGAAAGATTTAAGAAAACGATAAGATGAAAATATTTTGGAATCCTTTCTACAATGGGTTTAAAATTACATAATTATTAAATATAGCATCCAAGTCACATGTTTGAGCTTTTATAATAGCCCTGCATCACTGGACTTCTGGAAAAATGCACTAGTTTATAGTCTTAGGCTCACTAAATAATTTGTACATTACACTTACATGACTGACAGAAGAATAAAAGTGCAAGAAAAAACTTAAGCTGTTAAGCAAAAATTATAATTCTACAGTTTTTCTTAAAACCAGCATTAACATCAGGTCTAACCATATCAAAATTTTAAATGTCTGTTAGCTTTAGATTGAAAAATTAGGGTATACATTGAAATAGCTTTTCCTTTAATTTTGATAAAATTTCCTTATAGGACAGGAAAGAGTTTAATACATAAAGCTTTTTTTATTGGTTACAGAAAAAAGTAAGAAAAAAATATCTACATGAAATAAATTTTCAACAAGCATGACTAATTGAAAGGATATTGTCAATTTACATAATGATACGAACATGAGAAATTATCTTTATAGTCTTCGTTAAATATATAACTACTACATCTGAACAATAAAACTGAAATTAGAAATACAATGTAAAGTAACTAGAGTCTCAGTATTTATGAAAGAAATACTAGAAAGATTAAATGAAGTTGCCATATTTAAATGGCAACTTGTAGGAATACATCCGTAATAATCTATTTAAATGTGTAACCAACAAAATTTAAAAATTAGGCCATACCTCACTCTTTAAACAACTAATGGCTTTAAAAGATTCTTCTTAGCTTTTTTTTATATACTTCCTAAAACTTAAGTTTGAATGCAGTAGAATTTTCCAGACTTATGTAATCTAAAGTTTAACACAAAACAACAGTTATGAAAAAAAAAAAAGATATATCAGCTTCAGCTCAGAACAGTTTTTCATAGATATATATATGGAGATAATGGCTGGCCAAATAATATGGTATAAGTTTGCCATCTATAGTAACACTAATTCATAAGCAAGTCTCCCTATTATGTAGGGACAGTTGTACTGAAGCAAATTAAACTTTGTTATTTAAATTCCGATAGTTAACTTAATTAACATGTATATGGATTCTCTGTCATCCTCCATTTTTGTGTTGTAGAAAAACATCCAAGAAGATACAAATTTCTCCCTCAGTGATGATAACTTCTACTCAGCTTCTCTGATGTGGCTCATATCTTGCACTATAATATTGCCACCTGTAGTTTATAGCAAACTGCCCAGTGTTTCTATAGGTTTAAATTTTGGGTGACTAATTCTTTTAACTTATCAAGGTATGTATTTTTCAGTGTCATAATCAGACGGTTTAACATTTCCACTATTTTTGTAAGTGTTCAGCAGTTTATATTACGACACAATATATATATACAACTGAACACAAAGGAAAAAATTTCTTTAAAGGACAGGAAAAAGTTTAAATTATGGTATGGATATGATAAGAAATTACATAAGGTACTTCAATGAAAACTTATTGCACACAGCTGATGTAGGTTCCTGTATATTTCAACTTAATTCATGTTAATACATTTGTTATTGAAGCACAGTTTATAACTAAACTGTTTATATTATTTATTTTCTGAAGTTTTTTTAAACCTTTAAAACATTACATTCTCTGATCACATGGCCCGTTCCAGCTATACATTTTATCTTTCCACCTCTGTTTTATTGCTTGAATTCAAAACTTTCCATCTGATGATGCTAGTTAACCTTAGTGAAATAGTTTTTTTTTAAAAAGAGGTTTTGAAGCATATCTAGGAGTTTATCCATAATTAAAAAATATTATTTATTTTGATAAATTCATCCTATAACTTATTATTAATATTAATTGAATATTAACAAGATTATTGTTAAACCTTTCAGTCAATTATAAATACAAAAAAATACTTAATACAAGTCTCAATTTTATACCGCATTTTTTTAGCTGAGAAATTAACAAGTTTTTAATGAAGAGGGAAACAATGCCCACATTTCACTGAATTTCTTGGTTTGTTGCCTGGCTACAGTTTGACATATGCATAATTTCTTATAATCAATAGAAGGTAGATTCAGAGTAATAAGTCTATAGCTTTCAATACTAAATGCCATTACTAAATAACTAACTTTTTAAAATAATAATTTACATTGAATTTATTACTTTGATCAGCAACTATATTTTGTGAAACAATACTTATGGTATGATTCAATGAACACTGTAGTATTATATTATTGTATACTTGTATTCTCTTTAGTTACTTTAATTAAAAACAAATTTATAGCTTGTGATTTTTTTAAAGACTTTAGAAAAATAAAAACGATTTTCCTGAAGTTGTTTATCATCTTTCACAAATAGGGCTTCACTCCTTCAGTCAGCACTGCAAACTTAGAAAGTTGAGGAAAAAAAAACAACTGTTTGTCTGTCTCAAGTTGTTTTTTAAGAGCCAAGTTCAAAGCATTTTTTTGCAAGTGGGAAGTGAATTTTTCTGAGCTACATGTAACTGAAATAAAATTGTGGGAAATTGTTTTTAAAAACTGGTATGTTTTGTGTTTTTTAAATTACATTTTTAAGCCTACATCCTGAAAAGATAAGTGAACTTTCTTGCTTTTTTTTTTCAATGACAAAAAAAACAGGTCAAAGGCATTTGAAATAAGAAAACATGATATAAATAATAAAACAGGGATGGAATGAGTATTAATGATGACAAGATAAAAAAATTGGGAACTTAAAATATATAAAGAAACAAGACTGGAAATACAGTAGACATTACTTACTCAAACTACAAACCCATATTTGGCTCCACACTGTTACCTAGAATTATATTTGGTGGAGTCAAAATAGGGATTTGTAGTTTAAGTAAATAATGTCTACAGTATCTCCAGTGTTGTTTGCTTACTTTTTTACGAACCTTATTTACAGGTTTTTAAATTCCTATTTTTTATTTATCTTGTTTGCTGGCTTTTTTATGCTCAACTGTGGGCAAAGGATTACTTGATATGGTAGCTAACTTTATACATTGTAATGATAATAAACATAGCTAATATTTAATTGATATGGTTCATGATAATTTACTGTAGCTATTGACTATTTGATCACATTAGTTTGAGATGTAAAATGTTAAGCTCCAGCTGGAGATTGTAATGAAGACTTGTTTGAGAATATAACAAACATTTAGTTTCTGTGTAGTTAAATTCTCTATATATAATGCATAGCAATGGGTAAATATATGCCTACTCTAAGACACCACCCTCACTAGGCACGTAAAAAAGTTTAGCAATGGAAAAGCAGCCTTTTCAAATAAAACATCACTTTAAATAACCCTTCATGTCTTTTAAAGTAATTATTCTATGATTGTGTGTTATAAAATTTAATATTGTGTGTATTGATTTTTTTTATTCCTTCACTTTATACATAATATAGGGGTTGGCTCCCTAAAGACACGGATTGTATAGTGTACAAAGGATTGAGTATCTACATGTTACAGTCATCTAATGTTCATCTATTATTGGTTGGTAATCCTGTTTCACTCTATATTCAATCTTTTTAAAGGAACACCAGATACTTGTAAAAAAATTAACTTCAAGGGATAATGATAACATCATTATGATATTTTTTATCATATGCAAAATATAGAAGAAACAAATACTTTTCAATACCCCTATGACTTTCAAAGTACCTAATTTAGTATTCTAAAAAAGGCTTGTGTGCAATATACCAAGCCGTTTTTGTCGTAGTCTGACAAGACAACAATAATAATAAGAGGAATTATAAATGGGCTGTTTTGAACAGATTTTCTTTTACTTGTATGTAACATGCATGCTTTTTTCTAATACATTTTGTATATGTGTACAGGATTAGCAGTCAATAGTAGAGGTTTTAAAGTGTTGTTTGAACTGAATCTTTATTGTTTAATGTGCTATTTGCCTGAACATTCTATTAGGGTTTTGTGGAATTCCTTGCAATCCCTGTTATGAATCACTATCGTGGTTCATGATAATGAAATTCATTGTACATGCAATTTGAAACTTCAAATTCCACAAATTAATTATGAAGTACATTTGTAGATAATTATATCTATTAGTACCAACCTACCTGTGAAAGTCAAGAATGGCAGAAACAGATTTGTTGAGTGAAGCCCGTAATTCTTGTGCAACACTTGGAGCTAAAGACAAAGGGGTACATAGTCTCAGGTGGTTGAGAGCTATTAAAATGTTGTTACAATATTTTGCCAAAGGGTAGAACTCCAGTAAATCTTGTGGAGGGTGAGGTTTGTCCTATTCATAAGACATTTTTACAGCTTATTAAACATGGTACTACATTTGACTTTGCCTATGAATATGTACACAACACCAAATTTTACATCTAAAATTGTAACAGAAGTTGCTTTGCTAAGATAACTCTTTCAGAATACTTTTAAAAGATTTAATGAGGAATTTTAGGAACAAGAAAGAAAAATTTTTTCCAAAATCATATAAACAAACATATTGCTCCATTTTCTCAGAAAATAAGGAAAATATTTCAGAAATAAAGATTATAATAGAATTCATAATCAAAATTTTGTAATTCTCATACCTCTGATATCGAAGTTGGAGTAAGTACAGAAACATTGACAAAACTAGGAAATGATGTCAAAGTAAACCCTTGCATAGCTTCTTCAAACCTGAAATCAACAGACATGAAAATAACAAGTGTATATGAATCTTAATATATTATGTACATCTTTTCTAGTTAATGTCTAAAAAAATAACTTAAAAGTAAGAAATTTTTACTACTACTTTAAATTGTTCAAGCTGTATTAAAACTCATACTTGTGAAAATCATACAGTAATATACATTAATGAACTAGATGACTGACTGATTGTTTGTAATTAAGCACAAAGCTACGTAACAGGCTATCTGTGCTCTGCCCACCACGGGTATTGAAACCTGGTTTCTAGCATTGTAAGTCTGCAGACATACCGCTGTGCCACTGGGGAGCAAACTAATGATAGGTCTTAAATATCAGTGAATTTCAATGTACAAGCTATGAATTCAAACCATATTTAAAGGAACATCCTGCCAAGTGCTGACCATAAAATTACTGCACACTGTAAATAAATTAAGAGTCAAATCTCATATAATAATTATATTTAAGACCTTTTTGCAAACCTATTAAAACTTTAAAAAAAACATAATCCTCAGACTCAAAATATTTACCAAAATTGAATGCTATTTACTATGTATAAAAAATAAAGAACTGGTATTAAAATTAGAAATATAATCTTAGAAAAATTAATACACCCACACTATTAACATAAAAATTCAAATCATACTTCTAAATAAATAAAAAAAGAGAAATTTAAAAATTAAACAAAGTAACAAAAGTCTAACATATTTCTAGAGAGTACATACAATTACGAAAGACACTATCAGAGAAAAAAAAAGTCCTATATGTATACATGAGCTTTTCAAGCTTTCTACGCAATTTTTCATCACTTTTATGAAGAAAAATCTAACTACTTAGAAATGGCAAACAGTGTTTCGCTTTGTTTTCTAAACTGAGTTTTTTATAACGTAAAGAGTAATTTGAAATATCTTTCCTATAATCCAATGCTACAGTGATAATACAAATTCTGTAAGAAATGTTAGTTAAGTCACATGGCTATGCATTAGCATGTTGTTTTATTTGAAGATATTTGGTAGTTCAAGTTAGATTATAATACTGTTTGTGAGAATTTTCGTAATCCAATTGTACAATAGAAGAATCTGGTGGGATAATTTCAGTAAGCTTATTAATTTGATGTTTATTTAGGCTTATAAAGCTTAAAGTTTGTGCTTATTATACAATGACATGTTTTACAGTCTTTTCACAGGTATATTTTTTTTACAAAGGTTAGAAGCAATATTATATTTTAACTTCAATAATATATAATAATCACATCTGATATACACTTAACATAAGAAATACCAATTATTTCAAAATCTTTCTCTTCTTTATTACTTAGCCTGTAGCAGAACAAAGCATACCCTTCTGTTGCATCTTTAATGTCCTTCTGATACTTTCTGAAGATAACTTTTTCAAATATTGTCACCAGTAATGGACGGAAGTCAGCTCCAACACGACTAAAAGATAGCCCAAAGTACATACACTGAGCCAATATGGAGTCTAACCTTTCTCCTTCATAGAGAGAGATATCTTGCTGCAACGTCTGTAAAAACTCTGTAACCTGAAACATGCCAAGGGGCCACTGAGATTTTCACAATAAATAGTTTTACACAGATACGTTACGTTAAGTCTACATTTAGTATGACCTGTTACCGAGAATAATGAATTACTATATAAGGAATCATATGAAAAAAAAAAAGGGCATTGTTGGACAGACCTTTGGCAAGAGTTCATGATAATCTGTATTAGCTCTTTCTGGCCTGGAAGAATGTCACCGATATCCCTTGATTTTTTCTTTTCACAGTGGGAATATTTACCCAAAATATATGAAACTAAATAGTATCTGGTTTGGCTTTAAAACCATTCATACAAATTTATTTAGATTTTCTACCACTTTTTAGAATGAAATATTTCCTTTCTTATATTTTTATTGATGATAGGAGAGTTCTATTTTATATCTCCAGCCGATTTCAACTTGATTGATAATCATTAACATTTCTTTTGACACTTTATTTGGACAATTGTTGTAGTTACTACTTCTGCTTATAATATAAACCATATGAAACATAGTGAAAACTGACAAAGATTTCTTGGTGACCTATGACCTGACCTTTGACGATGGCATCACCATTACCTTTAATTTTGTAAGGCTAGGTGTTTGCTAATAATATTCTTTGTTGAGGTTAATTAATATCTAATAATTATAATTTCTTTTCAATAAGTAATAAGTTCTTCAGAATATTTGGTTGTTGTCAACAGTACTCATTTAACTTAACTAACATGATGTTCTGTCACAGAAAATTCTGCATCTTTCAAAGAGATATAATTTAACACAAAAATACACAAACACACACAGTATGCTTTATCACCTTTGTGGGGCATGTCCAAGTGTGATTTTAAAATGTTTTTCTTATGTTAATTCTTAAATATACATATACGTGGGTACTCTTTTTAAAACAAATTTTATAATTTATACTTACCCTATATGTAAGCCAGCTATGAAAAATTGTGCTATTATTTTGTTGACTTTCTCTCCCATAGCTTGATGGCCAAGGATCTTCATCCGAAAATATTGCCCTATACTGGGTGATGATGTCAAACAGGTGGACACGGCTAGCTTCAATAGTTTTTGTAATATGACTGTAAGCTGTGATTCATTAAAAAAATATATTAATTTACAATTAGCCTGATATACTATATTGCATATAAGCATGTACAGTTTCATTTGAAATAATTGATTTCTTAGTTTTTGTTTAAGTGGTAACTATTATTGTATTAACAATGCTCACATCAAAAAACATCCACATAAATTCTTACAACCAAATTGGATTTTCCACTATTATTATATCTGATTATACTTTTTCAGTTGATTGACATCAGATGAAACTAGCTAGCAATTTTGTTAACATGTCTTATGAAATACTAATAATTGCTGATGACACTATAGTCATAGATGGAGAAATATTTAAATTTTCAGTTTCACTTGTGAGAGCACATTCACAGAACAGAACAAAGATATCATAACACAAATTTCAATATTAAGTTTTTATTTGAAACGTTAAAATGATACTAAACAATACAGAGTAATGAATTTATGGGTCAACAAGTTCAAGAAAAGTCAGAAGCAAAACTGCAGATTTCCATAAAAAAAACCAGCTATACAAGAAACAAATAAACAATACTTGAACTAATCAGAACATAGTATACCAAGATGAAAAGGTGTTGACATTAAAAACATAAAACATTCATAGGACCATTTGCTAAATAATAGAAAAGAGTACAAATTAAATTATCTCTCTCTCTGTTGTCTGCATCACTGTTTGATAGCCAGTGTTGACAACAGTAAAAATTCACGGGCTATATGTCTATGGCAGTTATTTTGGTGTAACGTTAATAGTTTAAAGAAAACTATTAATCACCAAGGGTGTTCGAAGATTAGTAGTCCTCCTTCACCCTGCTCGAGGTTAGAAGTTTGATGAGCCATATGGGTGAGGGAAAAAAAAATTATTAATAACAATAATTACATACACACAGATGAGTGAAGGCAAGTCAAGGGCGTAGCAGAGGTCGGTTGTTGTTGTAGAAGGAGCAAGTCGACAGTCAAACAGTAAAAATGCAAGGCAAAGAAAGAACTGTATTTATTAACCTTTTTTTTTCTTCCCCCATTAAGTGTCAACAAATAACAGGGTTAGATATATGATCAACTTTTACATCAGTTATGACAAAGTAAGAGTAGGATAATATTTAAAATTGTCAACCACAAATCCAAGAAAGAGAAGCTGTCAAAGAATTTCTAAAGTTGTAAAAGGAAGAACAAATATGACCGAGAAGGATAGAAATATTAAAAAGCATTGGCTTTATTGAATCTTTTATAGACTATATGGGTATTAACTGAATTGAAATATTAAATACTTCTTTTTAAACGTGTTTATAGAACTTTTTGCCGTGCTGTGTTCCATATTTTGAGTCATATGTGCTACTACAATCCACTTCACACCATTACCAGGTGATTATAAAGAAAACCACATGCTTAAATGATTATATTATATTCAGGAAAGTTTAGAAATGGTAAATTCTATTACAAAACACAATTTTACCTTATACTTAAAAATATATTCATGCTTTTACTTCTTTTCATTCTCTCTCTTTACATAATACAAAATTAATTTCAATGTGTAGATTATAGCAAGATCAATGAACATTGTCAGAGAACAAATGATGTTTGTAGTAACTTTATTTAGGAATAGTACCGATATGTTGACTGAGAACATTGAAAGTATATTGAACAACTTCTGTGGAAGTTTTGGAATCACCTTATACCATGTCCAAGCTTTACTGAATAAAGTTTTTATGATTCTCAAAAACAGCCTCTGGAGAAATTTAGTTTGCCAAGGAGAAGTAGATGTAATTGTTTTAAATATGAGATTTTCTTTATAATCTAAGTAGCATTATTTTTTTTACCTGTTTGCCTCTTGGATATTCTTCTAGTATAATAAAATTAATGAAGTAGACAGCGTTACGTTCCTTTTATATTGCTTACTGCTTATGGGATCCATAAATTACATCATATTGAATAATTTTATGTTTCTTGCCTGTTTCAATACTCATTGTAAAGAATTGACCACAAACTTGGTAAAATAAGTCAATTACTAAGCAAAATTCACAGAAAACGAGTGACCTGTGGAATCAATACTAATGGTATGTTAATCATTTTTGTGACTCATGTGTTATTACTGAACCTATATTTACCCTGTGACCAACAAAATCATAGACTCATAAGTAAAAATGTGTATAAAAAGTCTAGGCTTCACACACATACCTCCATCAGTAATATTTGTATTAATTACATTAGTTTATTATCAAATGAGCATCTAATTTTTACTTGACTGAGTTTACTGAGAGAAATGAGGGAGGGAAAGTAGAAAAATGATATAACATTTCACTTATTTGAAATTAAGATGAATAATAAAATGCATGGGGTCCATTATCTCATTATTATGTCATAGGTCCAGCATTCCACAAACAATGGACATGCTTCATTACTCATTATGTGATATAATAAATCAGTGGTGAGATCATGTTGGACAGTTATTTTGAAGTCAACTTCTAAGCCATGTGGTAACAAAACACACGACCCACGCATGTACATGTATAGTTTAGGATTACTCTCAATATCTGATCAACTGAAATTTGTTACAGTAGAAGTACAAAGGACTTACATGTTCTGTAAGATTTCATATCACACACATGAGGGTATGACAAAAATAACTCAAAATCAAAAATGTCATTATGATTATTATTTTTATTGTACCAAGACCAGTATGCAGCATATTTGGGCTTTAGCTGAATATTGTATTTAACTCATAGTAGTAACAATTTCAAAAAAAGGCAAACAAAAAAAGAGTACTAGTCGTAGCAGTATGTAATACATGTTACATCACAGTATATCTGTCATATTGAAAAAGTTCTCACACCAAAATGGATCTACTATTCTATATATCTTGGGTGTCATTCCATGCTCCTAGTAAGACTAAACAAACAATAAATCAATGCAGCTGCAAGTATGATCTTAAATAACATATGAGTATAATATTTCCTAAAACAGAAATGCTAGTAGTTAGGTAAGAGCCTGAAATTATCCAAACATTTGCTGGAACCTTTCATATACACACCAATACATTATTATTGAAAGACAGAATACTTCTGTTGTTGTTTTATAACATTAGATACAGTGCACAATACAAATGATGATGAGAGATTGCTGTATATTCTTCATATTATCCCAATACTTAGTATTAAGCAACATGTTCCCTTCTTGGTAAGAATGGGCAAATTAATGTACTTGTAGCTGGTCAAGGTACTAACATTTATATTTATTTTACAGGGATCTTTATCACTTAATGTTAATGTAAAAATTAACTGCCTTTTCTACACTACTCAGGCAAAATTATTATACTATAGACACTCCAAGGCATTGAATTTGGTATTCTAATAAGTATGACCTTTAAAATGATTTCCAGGCCCCCCATATAAACCTGTTACTACATTGTCAAGCCATTCTTCAATTTTATTATCATAAATACTCAATAACATTAATTAAAAAATTTAAGTACATACATTCATAATAATATTGATTGTCCTTTATATTTCTGAACTTACAATGATGTTTTTGTATTTATTTATGAATAAACCATATATAACTAAAATAACTTTAAATACATAATCACTATATTGTACAATTTTTTAAGCCAACACTACTGTACATTCTTCTTTAGTAAAATATTTCTGCTGGGGTTATTTCTAATCATTATCCTAAATAATATTCAGAAAAAAATATTGTTGTGACATACTCACAGTTACTATTTGGAATATTTTGTAGAACAGACTGGAACCAGGCATCTCTTGCCTAGGAAGTAATCAGTCATAAACGATAAGTGATTAAAATGTTAATAACAAGAAAAACAAAATAAATGCAAACATTTACATAGATATATCATTACCATTTATATAAATATAAAGCACAGATTGAGAAAAAAAAAAGGGGATTTTTAATACTGTCCCATTTTGTTACACCAAGTGTACACTACACAACCTCTTTGATTGATTCCACTGACTCACTGCAGTAAACCGTTTGTTTAATTAAACAGAGAAAATTTTTTCTACAGATATAACTATTTTTTTTGCAGTGGTTAGTTCAAAAAATATATGTTGAACTTTAATATAAATTACACACAATATGAATATTAATGGAAATGTGTCTCATTAATTAGTTTCATTAAATTTTTGAATAATGCCAGTATTTCTTTCTTTTAACAATGATTTTATTTTTTAATTAATAATATAAATAAAGTTTTATCTTTACCTATGAGTGTTCCAAACAGTATTGGTTTTCACTTTTCTGTTTCATGGTTAGTGTTCTTGTTATACTACTTATTTTAAGGTTGGCAAAAATAAATAGTTTGAAACAGGTACAACATGTGTAGCTTGTATGCTTTTAGCATTTAAAGAAAGAATATTAATCAATAGTTAATTATTAAAACAATTTTTTAAGAACATGCAGTCACAAATAAATGTAGGTTTGAGGTATCTGTTAACATTTAAGGGATATGATTTTATATATTTCTTAAACTTTTTTTCTCTATAACACTTAAAGAGCAATTTTTCACATCACTTAAACTATACATGTTGTGTACCTGATACACGAGTTCGACAAAAATGAACAACTATATGTCACAGCGTGGTACCAGTGGAAAATGTATGTGTATTTGGTTTCATATTACTATTAGCAAAACATATTTTTTTGTTAATGGATATGCTGAAATTACTATGAAAATCAATGCTTTGAGAAATAGAGTTCGACAAAAATGAACAACTATATGTCACAGCGTGGTACCAGTGGAAAATGTATGTGTATTTGGTTTCATATTACTATCAGCAAAACATATTTTTTTGTAACGGATATGCTGAAATTACTATGAAAATCAATGCTTTGAGAAATAGATGTACTTTAATAACTGCTTAATGAGGGTTTTGTTTGTTTCGTCGTTAAGCGTAAAGCTACACAATGAGCTATTTATGCTGTGCCCACCACGGGTATCAAAACGTGGGTATTAGCATTACAAGCCTACTGACTTACTGCTGAGCCACTGGGAGGCACTTAGTAAGGAAGTTGTGATAGTATTAAAACTAATATTGATCAGTATTACAAAATTTATCTCCAAAGCTTTAATTGAGATTCTGACCTTCTACTAGCCACTTACATGTAAACAGAAACAAGCAAAAAAAAAAGAACAAATATTAAACATATTATTTTAAAAGTTTATCAAATTACTTTGGTTTGTGTATTTTTTAAAATGATAACCAATGAAAACATTTTTTCTCTCAAGGTGTTGAAAAGAAAAAAAATGTTAAAATTATTTCTAATGATGTTGGAAATATACATCTCCATTAAAGAGTGATATTACATACAAAAAAAAATGTTATTTTTTTCAATGTTACTTTACAAAACTTTTCCCCAAAAAAACTAATTTAATCACAAAATGTACATTGTGAATTCAAAGAACAAAACCACTGAAGATTATACTACATAAATTCTATCTAAGTTAACTAAAACAAATGATATACTTTGAACGAATGGTAAAAATTAAAACAGAGTCTCCAACATGGAGATCTATACATGATTTTACTTCTGAGAAAAACATGTTACCTGCAGAAACCTGATTCTTAGCTCTGCTTCAGAAAACACATCCATTCTTCTCAGAAAACCAATTACTTTTAAGCAAGCTGGTAGTTCAACATTGGTTCGAAGTTGTTGCAACAGCTTGTTCAGCATCAGTCGGTATGATTCTTGGACTTCTCTTGCGATACTCTTTGAAAAAAAAAAGTCAGTTATAACAACTATGAAAAAAAAAACATGGCTGGTCTCTACAATTTGAGCTGAATAACTCTCTTTGGGAATGAAGACTAAAAGAAACATACTGATGTTGCATATTTAATGTGATAGTTAATATCAAGCAACATTTTTGAATTTCCATGTACTCTTTAATTCAGTTTACATAAGAAAAAACAAATCAGACATTTTGTGTGTTACAACAGAAATCAACCCTACTCGGTCAACTTTTAAAATATGCAGTCAGATTCATGTTAATTATAGTTAGCCTACACATACTTAATATTGTGTATTTCAAGCAAAATATCTGAGGTTACTATCTTTTACAATGCAACTATCTATCAAACTGTGATGTAAAGTAGACAGGCTGAGACAAGAAGTGTTAATGCTTCTGAAAATTATAACCAAATTTTTGTTTTATTTGTTTGTTTAAATTTCATGCACAGATACTCAAGGACTGCCTGCCACTAGCCACCCTTAATTTTGAACTGATAAACTAGGGGAAGGCAGTTAGTCAACAATATCAACTGCCAGCTCTTTACCAACAAATACTGGGCTTGACTATCACATTATAATACCCTCAGGACTAAAAGGGGAGAATGTTTGGTGACCAGTTTCAATCCCCGAGTCAAGTGTCCTACCCACAAGGACATGCTATTTGTGTTTTGTACATTACATATTATGATTTTAAAATTAAAACTGTGCTTCTAATAACATTTACATTAAAAATCATTCAAAATACCATAATAGAAAAAATAACCAAAATACGCCCCAAAAAATACATAATTTAAGCTGGAGACCGTTACATGCAGGTATAGGCTGTTTTTTTTTTCTTTTCGAATTGACTTGAAACTGGCAATTACAAAATTCTTACAAATTGTTAATGAAGTTTTATTTTCAGCTTTACGTCCAGAGTTAAGGTTACAGTCTATAAAAATAAACATGCTGAACTATACAAAATGTGGCATCCAGACTTAATGTTTTTTTTTCTAAGTATGGTAAAACTAAGTTATATTGAACAGTGTACTTAGGAGTTAAATGATGACAGCTCTATTCTGAGTTTCAGTGTTATTAATGAGCTCAGCATAAAAATTATTAAATTCTGAAACTCTTTTTAAGTTACCACATATAATTGTTTAAGCCAAGTCAATCAAAATGCTAACTACATTCATCCTCAAAGCATACTGTTAGAAAAATATTAAAAATAAGAATATAATTTTAAATACTTTGACTTCTCTTTATATGTATTATTTGTTTGTTTTTGAATTTCGTGCAAAGCTACACAAGGGCTATCTGCACTAGCTGTCCCAAATTTAGCAGTGTAAGACTAGAAGGAAGGCAGTTAGTCATCACCATCCACTGCAAACTCTTGGGCTACTCTTTTACCAACAAATAGTGAGATTGATTATCACATTATAATGCCCCCCCACAGCTGAAAGGGCGAGCATGTTTGGTGGGACGTGGATTCAAACCCGCGACCCTCAGATTGCGAGTCAAGCACCCTAACCACCTTGCCATGCCGGGCCCTTTATATGTAAACACAAACTTATTTAACAGCTTTCAGCTCTGGTTCTACCTCCTTAAATCAACTCTAGGGAACACTTGTAATTGCATCAGTTACGTAAAGCGTTTTGCTAGCTATGCTAAGAAAATGGCTAATCAGATTCTGTGGGACTCAGTCTTGGAAAAACACAAGGGAAAACATACAAGAACAACTGTGAAAAACAAATTGTAAATCATATATGTGAAGATGGGCTGCACGATAATGTCTTATAAGAAATAACCCACAATGCTTTAGGTTGCAGTAAAGTGGATGTTTCTGTGTCTATTATGGTGTTGTCAAGTGGGTCCAAAGTTTGTTTCAGCATGAATTAATTACTTCACTGGAATTTCAAAGTTCATTTTTAATTAAAATGCGTTGGCCAAATTGTCATCAGGTGACATTTCTGAGTCTATGAAAAGATCTCTTGAAGTGTTAACGACAGCATACTCTGGCCTAAAGAAGATGGTTATTCGAAAAGATCCCAAAGATTTCCAAACACAAATTTGCATTTGATTACATCTGTACTTGGTTATTCCAAGAAATATATGAACTCTGTCTTTTTTTCTAAAATGTTATTAGCATGCTATTAAATGTTGTGTACCTAAAAGAAAGAGGGGAGAGGACACAAATTTCCTGTTGATAAAATAACTAAAAAAAAAAATGGTGGCTTGTTGTGATCAGGCATACATACAGCTTGTTTAATTATGGCTGGAGACGGCTTGAATGGGTAATGAAGAAAAAACTTTAATATAAGTTCAACATAACAGCAAATGTACAACGTATAATGTACCTGATGATGACAAAACCTTGTCGAAACGTTGTACATTTGCTGTTATGTTGAACTTATATTAAAGTTT